TGTGTGTGAGACAGTCCTGTGGCCTGTGTGAGAGACAGTCCTGTAGCCTGTGTGTGTGTGAGACAGTCCTGTAGCCTGTGTGTGTGAGAGACAGTCCTGTAGCCTGTGTGTGTGTGAGACAGTCCTGTAGCCTGTGTGTGTGAGAGACAGTCCTGTAGCCTGTGTGTGTGAGAGACAGTCCTGTAGCCTGTGTGAGAGACAGTCCTGTAGCCTGTGTGTGTGAGAGACAGTCCTGTAGCCTGTGTGAGAGACAGTCCTGTAGCCTGTGTGAGAGACAGTCCTGTAGCCTGTGTGTGTGTGAGACAGTCCTGTAGCCTGTGTGAGAGACAGTCCTGTAGCCTGTGTGAGAGACAGTCCTGTAGCCTGTGTGAGAGACAGTCCTGTAGCCTGTGTGAGAGACAGTCCTGTAGCCTGTGTGTGTGAGACAGTCCTGTAGCCTGTGTGTGTGTGAGACAGTCCTGTAGCCTGTGTGTGTGAGACAGTCCTGTAGCCTGTGTGTGTGAGAGACAGTCCTGTAGCCTGTGTGTGAGACAGTCCTGTAGCCTGTGTGTGTGAGACAGTCCTGTAGCCTGTGTCTGTGAGACAGTCCTGTAGCCTGTGTGAGAGACAGTCCCGTAGCCTGTGTGTGTGTGAGACAGTCCTGTGGCCTGTGTGAGAGACAGTCCTGTAGCCTGTGTGTGTGTGAGACAGTCCTGTAGCCTGTGTGTGTGTGAGAGACAGTCCTGTAGCCTGTGTGTGTGTGAGACAGTCCTGTAGCCTGTGTGAGAGACAGTCCTGTAGCCTGTGTGTGTGTGAGACAGTCCTGTGGCCTGTGTGAGAGACAGTCCTGTAGCCTGTGTGTGTGAGAGACAGTCCTGTAGCCTGTGTGTGTGTGAGACAGTCCTGTAGCCTGTGTGTGAGACAGTCCTGTAGCCTGTGTGTGTGAGAGACAGTCCTGTAGCCTGTGTGTGTGTGAGACAGTCCTGTAGCCTGTGTGTGTGTGAGACAGTCCTGTAGCCTGTGTGTGTGTGAGACAGTCCTGTAGCCTGTGTGTGAGACAGTCCTGTAGCCTGTGTGTGTGAGAGACAGTCCTGTAGCCTGTGTGTGTGTGAGACAGTCCTGTAGCCTGTGTGTGTGTGAGACAGTCCTGTAGCCTGTGTGTGTGAGAGACAGTCCTGTGGCCTGTGTGTGTGAGACAGTCCTGTAGCCTGTGTGTGAGACAGTCCTGTAGCCTGTGTGTGTGAGAGACAGTCCTGTAGCCTGTGTGTGTGTGAGACAGTCCTGTAGCCTGTGTGTGTGTGAGACAGTCCTGTAGCCTGTGTGTGTGTGAGACAGTCCTGTAGCCTGTGTGTGAGACAGTCCTGTAGCCTGTGTGTGTGTGAGACAGTCCTGTAGCCTGTGTGTGTGTGAGACAGTCCTGTAGCCTGTGTGTGTGTGAGAGACAGTCCTGTAGCCTGTGTGAGAGACAGTCCTGTAGCCTGTGTGTGTGTGAGACAGTCCTGTGGCCTGTGTGAGAGACAGTCCTGTAGCCTGTGTGTGTGTGAGACAGTCCTGTAGCCTGTGTGTGTGTGAGACAGTCCTGTAGCCTGTGTGTGTGTGAGACAGTCCTGTAGCCTGTGTGTGTGTGAGACAGTCCTGTAGCCTGTGTGTGTGTGAGACAGTCCTGTAGCCTGTGTGTGTGAGAGACAGTCCTGTAGCCTGTGTGTGTGTGAGACAGTCCTGTGGCCTGTGTGAGAGACAGTCCTGTAGCCTGTGTGTGAGACAGTCCTGTAGCCTGTGTGTGTGTGAGACAGTCCTGTAGCCTGTGTGTGTGAGAGACAGTCCTGTAGCCTGTGTGTGTGAGAGACAGTCCTGTAGCCTGTGTGTGTGTGAGACAGTCCTGTAGCCTGTGTGTGTGAGAGACAGTCCTGTAGCCTGTGTGTGTGAGAGACAGTCCTGTAGCCTGTGTGAGAGACAGTCCTGTAGCCTGTGTGTGTGTGAGACAGTCCTGTAGCCTGTGTGAGAGACAGTCCTGTAGCCTGTGTGTGTGTGAGACAGTCCTGTAGCCTGTGTGTGTGTGAGACAGTCCTGTAGCCTGTGTGTGTGAGACAGTCCTGTAGCCTGTGTGTGAGACAGTCCTGTAGCCTGTGTGTGTGAGAGACAGTCCTGTAGCCTGTGTGTGTGTGAGACAGTCCTGTAGCCTGTGTGTGTGTGAGACAGTCCTGTAGCCTGTGTGTGTGAGAGACAGTCCTGTAGCCTGTGTGTGTGAGAGACAGTCCTGTAGCCTGTGTGTGTGTGAGACAGTCCTGTAGCCTGTGTGTGTGTGAGACAGTCCTGTAGCCTGTGTGAGAGACAGTCCTGTAGCCTGTGTGTGTGTGAGACAGTCCTGTAGCCTGTGTGTGTGTGAGACAGTCCTGTAGCCTGTGTGTGTGTGAGACAGTCCTGTAGCCTGTGTGTGTGAGAGACAGTCCTGTAGCCTGTGTGTGTGAGAGACAGTCCTGTAGCCTGTGTGTGTGTGACAGTCCTGTAGCCTGTGTGTGTGTGAGACAGTCCTGTAGCCTGTGTGTGTGTGAGACAGTCCTGTAGCCTGTGTGTGTGAGAGACAGTCCTGTAGCCTGTGTGTGTGTGAGACAGTCCTGTAGCCTGTGTGTGTGAGAGACAGTCCTGTAGCCTGTGTGTGTGTGAGACAGTCCTGTAGCCTGTGTGTGAGACAGTCCTGTAGCCTGTGTGTGTGTGAGACAGTCCTGTAGCCTGTGTGTGTGTGAGACAGTCCTGTAGCCTGTGTGAGAGACAGTCCTGTAGCCTGTGTGTGTGTGAGACAGTCCTGTAGCCTGTGTGTGTGAGAGACAGTCCTGTAGCCTGTGTGTGTGAGACAGTCCTGTAGCCTGTGTGTGTGTGAGACAGTCCTGTAGCCTGTGTGTGTGTGAGACAGTCCTGTAGCCTGTGTGTGAGACAGTCCTGTAGCCTGTGTGTGTGTGAGACAGTCCTGTAGCCTGTGTGTGAGACAGTCCTGTAGGCTGTATAAGTTATCGTGTCCGGTTGTACTTTAGATCTGGCTGCAAATCTGTTTTTTTAATGAAGCACTTCTCACATTCAAGAACTTTTCATGCTTAGCAGAGCACAGTGAAGATGAGGATGGCTCCGGTCCTGTCTCGGTGGCCGGCTGTGGGGCGTGCTCTGTGGCGGGCACCGCTGGAGGACTTGATATATAAGCCACCACCTGTGTCAGGTTACCTTTTATCTATGACAACTAACTGCACCCAAGGAAAATGACTTCTATCTAGCAGGAGTGGGGAACCATATTTCTGCTGAGGGCCATTTGGATACTCAGAACATCATCACTCGCCATACACAATGGTCACCACCGCAGCCTCGCCACTGGAAGCTGAGGAGAAGCATATGTGCCTGTCCTGTGGGTATGCAGAATGATTCCAAGGACTATAAATAGCCCATAGCCAGACATTCCTCCCTCCAGCACACAAAAAGTCCTTTTCCCAGCCCGGGTGACTGTGCCAGGATGACATTTACTCGGGTGTACATGGGACCAACAAAGCAGGACAGCAGCATCTGCCCATTGCCCTGGATGCGGCTTAACACTCAATTTGAGTGGCGGCACATTACCAGAGGGATGGAACGGCATCAGATCTACTCAGCAGTCAAGTTTGTTCCTGAAAACTTAGCAACAGGATATGTGATTTGAAAGGACTGAGGAGTACGTAGCTCTGATTTCCACATTGTAGAAGCACATACATTTTTGCCCTTTAAGTCTCAATGTGCCAGGCGCCAGTGGCTCACGCCTGTAATCCTAGCTACTCAGGAGGCTGAGATCTGAGGATCACAGTTTTAAGTCAGTCCAGGGAGACAAATCTGAGAGCTCCTTATCTCCAATTCACTAGCAAGAAACCTGGAGGTGTAGCATAAGTGGCAAAGCACCAGGCTTGAACACAAAAGCCAAATGAGAGCATGAGGCTCTGAGTTCAAGTCCTAGTACTGTCACGTACACAAAACAAAAACTTCCTAAAATACCAAGGGTGTGGTGCGGCAAGCCTGTGATTCCAGCACTTGGGAGGCAGAAGCTGGAAGGGCAGCTACTCAGACAGACCCGTCTCATAGACCACGGGCTGGGATGTAGCACAGTGGTAAGCCACTGGCCCAGCACGAGGTGGGGCCTGAGCACCATCCCCAGCAAGCCCCTTTCCACCCCACAAAACAACAACAACAACTGGGCAGGAAACAAATACATAGAAAAGCAGACAATAACCAGAGCTGCCCTGATACGTTCAGAAAACCATGAGGCCGAGTCATTGCAAAGAAAGGAGAATGAGGGGAGACCACAGCCCTGCAGCCGGCGTACAGGCCAGCATAACCACAGCGCGGCCCTTCTCCCTGCCTGTCACCACCGAATGCTTTTCCCTGCTGTGGTCCTCAGTCCTGTGCACCCTGGTTGCGCACCCCCACCTCCCCACTCCTGGGCCTCACTGCATTTCCCCCGGGACACGCCTGGTCACTCTGGACTCTCGATGCTCCCCGTGTGGCAGTAGGCTGCCTACAACACGTCCCCACTGCCACCACACCAAGCTTCCGGGGAAGTCTGGGGCACGAGGAGAGCCAGGGTCCCTGCTTACCCGGGGACCCCATGTGGGCAGTCAGCTCATGCTCCCAGACCCTCCTCGGTACACACTGCGCTCCCTAACCTTAATGACATCCTTGAAAACACAGCATGAAACACCGCTTTCCTTCCCGAAGTTTTGCACGAACACATCCTTTTCTCTGCCCACTTCTCAAGTAACCCCACGCCACCATCCGACCTGAAGGGTAGGATTTTCTCCCACACATGCACACAATTAGCATGAGCTAAGTTAACTCTCTTTCCACTAGGAGATCCTTATGTCTTAAGTTTTTCAAGGCCATTTTAGGGACCCATGCTCAGCCCACACTCAATGTAACCCCAGACCCATAGACCTGGGGCTGCTGGACGCAGGGACAAGACACGCGTGCAGAGGGCACCTTGGGCCACGCTAGCTGCAGCCTGGCCCCCTTACCCCAATGTGCTGGAAGAGCCAGGACCGCATCACGTTGGTGGCATGCTTTGGCAGGACGCCCCTCTTGTTCTTGGACGAGCTGTCATCTTGGTGTAGAATGCTGAGATCTTGGTTCAGCTGTAACTGGAGCTTGAACATTTG